TACTTGAAGAGATGGAAGTAAAATGAAGTATATATATGAATTATAAACACCAAACTTAGCCTGGATGACTAAGCAATAAAATCATTCAAGTTTATTTACAATAATTTCTCTCACTGGAAGTGATTGGTGTCACGTCAGATAGCTGGGTGTTTAGGTACGCACATCATCTCAATGTAATCACAGATCAGTCAGTAATTGTCGAGGTAATTGTAAAAGCTCAGAGCTTCCAATCGAGCTTCCAATCTCTTTCTATTAAAATAATACTGAGCATGCGCAGTTGGCTGCATCAAAATGGCGTCCAACCACTTGGTGAGTCCATGTGTGCTTGAAAATAACGACAAGAAATCATTTTCTAGAATTACAATGCCAAGCCACACTGCACTAGCGTCCCTGAAACGCAGAACAATGGTGCAAAAATCATATTTCTAGGATAAAAACTGTAGGACTAGTTCTTCCTTAACTGTGGAAGAAGAAGAAGAAGAAGGAGAAACCTGAACATTTGGTGCATGCAGGCATGCATGCATTCATTTGCCGTATAACTATATTATGGAAGTTTTTTGCTACTTTTTATAACACTGAAATGTTTTGATGAAATTATAAAGGACATTTAGACTGTCAGATAAGCCACAATGAGTTTCTAAAGATATTAAACAGGCTCAATGCTTCTGGGATGGCAGCCATTTTGGGGGCGCGCTCGTCCAACTCAACCCTACATACCAAGCGCTAGCGCTTGGTAATAATTAAATGTTATCACATTCACAGTCACTTACCATCATCATCCTCTACAGTCACATTCATTGTTTCTGGATTTACCTAAACCTATATATTACCAATGTTCCTTAATCTTAGTATATAATGTTTATCAGGTTCCAGTGCAATTTTATTATCAACCACTGGAAAAACAACAGTCCTGTTCTGTAGTACAGCACCAGTACCAAATGTGACAAAACCAAGTGATGTTCCTTCTACAATTAAATTGAATGGAAATAATTTAAAATTAGTACTATTATGATTAAACATACTGGTAGTTCCATCATCAATGTATACTTCAACATCTTCACTTTGACTCAATTGTCCTCCTCCTAGTATGACAGTGATTGATTGATTTCCTCCTCCTTCAGAGAATGTAGCTTGACCAATAGCAAACCTTACTTCAGCTGTGATGCGTAATACATTATGTATGCATGTATAAAAAAGAACAATATGCTATAAATACTAACAATCATCATCTTGTATCCTGATAGTTGATGGACTATGGTCTACTGTTAATCCAATATGTTGTGAATTGATATTGGCTATTTCCACTATAAAGTTCTCAAATAGTTGTTCTCTAATGGTATGATTGATAATACCAATTTTATCACATGTACTGTTTGCAAAAGCAGGTAATGTTATACGAAGTGCACGTGGATAATAATCACCTAATTAAAACATATAGAATAAATAGCAATGCATGTATCTATGTACAGTTTTAAGGGAGTTAATTTTTGCAAGCTGTTCATGTTTACCCAAATTAAAACACTACAAAATTAAAACTTGTGAATTCATATGATTATGTAGCAATAAGATTTAAGCATTGAATGCATATAAAACAATGTTAACATGAATATTTTATCAATATGGTATGTTTAGTTCATCGGATGACACCCCAATAAGTTGATCAATCATGTACTGAATAATGTTAGCAATAAAAAAAAGCTACTCTAGTATGCTGAGTCAGGTAAGCCATGCTAATAAATACTGACCAATAAAGTGCTTTATTGAATTCATATGCTTGTATGATGAATCCGAACCCAGATATAATCCATGATATGAAACATAGTGTCATACCTATCAGTATAGCTTTGTATTTACCAATATGTACATCAGCTAATAGCCCAAACAAAGGAAAAAAATAGAAGA